ATGCTGGTCGAAAGGTCCGATTAATTGATTTAATCTTTGATTTCAGTTGTCCTTTATTCTTCAAATCACAATCTAATCAAGTTGCATAAACAATTTTGTTTTTGTTTTTGTTACACAGTCGTTGTGTATTTGTACTCCGATGAGGATGTTGGGATGAGGAAGCAATTGAGTATAAAGGTGGTGGTGGTCGGAAAAGAGGTGGTGGTGTTGCATCCACGACCAACAGGTGATCTTCTTCTTCATCTTATTTTGATTTGGATCCATGTAAATTTGGATGTTTGAGTTTTCCTGAAAAAATTTATGATAATGGATGGGATATAACTCATGGTTGTTTGGGTTTGTTTCTTGAATTCAAGAAAATGAATTGGTAAGACTATCACTAATTTTTTTTGAAGAAACTGAAGAAGCACACCACATGTTTGATAAAATGCATAGTTGAATTCTAGGTATTTGTAACTAGAAAACAAAAGATTATTTATCTCAATCCTGAAAATAGATTTTACATTCAATTGTTTTTTGATTTTGAAAATAGATTTTACAAATACAAATGCATCTTACATGTGTTGTTGTTGTTATTATTATTATTATTATTATTATTATTATTATTATTATTATTATTATTATTATTATTTGTGTTTCTATCTGTGTATGCTTTGGTAAATGCCCAAAATGAGACTAGATGAGTGTGAAGGTACATCTGATATAAACTACATCTTTGCAGTTATTAATTCAAGATACATATTTGTGTTAACATGATCTTTTCCTGCATTTATATTTCAAATGTTTTGTTCGTTGGGTATATTCTTGATAATACAAATTCTTTAAGAATATTCAAAACCATTCTGCAAGAATAATTTATTCTGTAACAATATTATTGTTGTATTCTGATAGAATTGTAGTTAATTAGTTATATGTTTAATGTGCAGTTGTTACAAGTGTATTACTACAAAACATTCAACAATGAATTTGTGATAGAATGACTTGAAGACCTGATGGGAAAGGCTCCTTGTATAAAATCATTCTCATGCAATACAATTCTGATAGAATGTCAATCTCACAAAATATCAATCTCATACAATGCTAGCATACTTTGAAATGGTTTAGAGGTCAAACATATACAAGACATATAGAAACGAAACAAGAAAGTGAATGAGTATTCTTTCAAGAATGCCGATATTTTTTTTGCAAGAGATTTCAAGAATGAATGTAGTTTATGTTCATAGTTGAATTCGTTAAGAATGAATTTAATTACTTATTCTAGATGTATGAATTTGTATTTATGTTCGGATGTATAAGAATATATTAGAATATTTGTTATTTTTCAACATCTGATTCAAGAATTTTGTTTTTCTTCAATGATATTCTATTAGAGTAAGATTCTGAAAGAGCATCATTCTAACAAAATAATATTCTATTAGAATAAAATTCGGAAAGAACATTATTCTAACAAAAAATATTCTGACATAATATAATCGGTAAAATTGAAATTGAATTAATTAAAAAATTCAGATTTTTTTAAATTAGGAGAATCAATCATCTCTAAAATTCCAAAAATTTCCTTTTATAAATGTAGGTAATTATCCAAAATACTCTTTTGCTAAAAATTGTGTGATTATATGGTACATGTTACCCCATTGTAATATCATACACTCTCAAATCATGTCCATTGATTAATTTCATCCGTTGGTTCAGATCTGTGCATTTTGGCACACAATACTTAGGAAAAACAAAATAACCTAAGCATATATATATATATATGTTCAAATGTTTCTCATATTTATTGTGTGCTAGAATGCACTAATAAAAATTTAATAAAAATTAAATTATTATTTAATCAAATAAAGATAGATATTAAATGATTTCCATAACTATATGTATAGGGAGATGATAAATCCACGACATCTTTTTGAAAATCCACTGATTTTTAAACTTAGTTGACAATTATGCCTCTATCTATATTTAGAATGCAATTTAGGTTTTATTTTAGGCACATTGCTCATTATTAGTACTTAATTTTCGCGTTCAGTTTTTTTGTTCAGAAATCATTTTTTGATACTTCATTTTCACGAGCTTTTATTTTCCACTGATGCAATAGTACTTAATTTTTAACCTCATGATTATGACACTTATGTTTTAGGAGTTGATCCGTACACAACAATTTTTCTTCATACACAATAATTAGTGCTTTAAAATGTTGTATTGTTCAACTATATTATGCATGAATTGTTGTGTATAGCAAAAAACTGTTGTGTACGAATCACTTCCCTTAGGTTTTTGTTCTTTTTGTGAGATAGGATGAGACATAAAATTCTCAATTGACTAGTTGTTCATGTGTTTGTTATTTAGATTTAACTGAAAACCAAACCAATTAAACCGAAAATGGTTTGACCAAATTTTTTTCAGGTCGGTTTTGGTTAATATTTTGGAAGTAAAAAAACCAATCAAATGGAACCGAACAGACTGATAACCAATTAAACCGAACAAATAACATCCCAAATCAAAATCAAGGAGTTATTATATTTATTTTGATATTTGGAATTGACATTAGTCGTCAATGTTAAGTTTGATATTTTAGAATTAATAGGGAATCGTACACAAGGAATCAAATGTTGTGAAGACGCAAGATGCAAGATAAATATAATTGCAGCGCCAAATAAATATATCTGGACACATACACAAGGAAAAAGAATGGATGATTACTTACCGTTTGACGGTTGAAGATTGATTTACTAATAATTAGATCAAGATCATTGTCGTCGAAGGAGGAAGAAGTCGCGTGTGTCGTGCGTGTTTGGGATAATGATTTACTAATAATTAGACACATGACTAATACAAAAAATTAAATTACACCCAATTATAGATGATGAAGGCATAGCTGTTCGGTTCTGATTGGTCGATTTTTGACTTCTAAAATATCAGTTGAAACCGATCTGAATAAAGTTTGGTTTGATCGTTTTCAGTTTAATTGGTTTGATTTTCTGTTAAATTTGAATAACAAATACATGAACCACTGGTCAACTGAGAATGTTTATGGATCATCTTCTATGCAATCAACTTGTAAGAAAATAGAAGTAATAATAACAAAAGAATGGTTAAACTATGAGCACAAAATACAATATAGCTAAGATAAAATAATGTTTATAGAGTTATATTTGCAATATCATTGAAACAAAGTGGTTAAAAAATGTTTCTGAAGACATGTAAAACACTGACTCAACACATGCATGTAATCCAACAAATCCTAAACTTGTTCTCATAAGTAGAAAAAAAACAATTCTCATAATGAGGGATGATAAAAAATTAAGTATATTTGCATAGTTAATTTCAGTGGAGAAAAAAAAATTAAAACATTGTAAAAGTGAAGTATTAAATTGATATGTAAACAAAATAATAAAAGAAAAAATTAAATATGTTAACGAGCTTGAGCCAAAATGAAAATTAAACTGCATTCTAAATATAGAAGTGGGCATATTTGTCAAGTAAGTTTAAAGTAAGTGGATTATCAAAAAGAGCATTTATCATCTCCTATATGTATATTAAATGATATCTATAATTATATATATATATATATATATATATATATATATATATATATATATATATATATATATGAAAACTAATTAAATTCGTCATTAATATCAGCAATAATATTCTTCCAGAATGAATCCGTATCTAGTTTTTCATGTATAGGTTCATATTTTGTTTCATGACCTACCCACTTAAAATACAACAAAGTTGGTTAAAACATGGAGAATGAGAGTGTATTCTACTAGAATGAGAGTTTATTCTAAAAGAATGAGAGTATATTCTAACATAATGAAAGTGTATTATAGTAGAATACATTCTCATTCTTCATATTCCATGCAACTTTGTTGAATTTTAAGCGAGTGAGTCCATAAACAGAACATGAACCCACACATGAAAAACCTAGATACAAATTTATTCTGAAAGAATGTTATTGCTAACATTAATAGCAAATTTAATTAGTTTCCATAAAAAAGAGAATTATAATTATAGATATCATTTAATATAGATACAGTTATGAAAATCATTTAATATCTATCTTTATTTACTTAAATAATTATTTAATTTTAGTAAATTCCTATTGGTGCATTCTAGCACATATTAAATGTAAGAAACATATGAACCTAACTCTGTATTTCTCTCTCTCTCTCTCTCTCTATATATATATATATATATATATATATATATATATATATATATATATATATATATATATATTCAATCTCATATACAAGTGAAAATGCAAAGCCCAGTGAAATATGTCTACTTACTATATATAGTTTTATGTGTTCAGGCACATTAAGGCACGTGTTTGTATAACCAATTAACAAGTTTATTTGTATATTTTAATTATTTAATGAAGGGATAATGACTTAGGAGTGTAACTACCACTTATCATTGTTAACATATTGGTAACTTCTTCTTTTTTGTACATATAAAAGCAACTAACTTGTTTTACATGGTCAAATTACACCAATATTACCTGCTAATGCCTGTTTCAGTTGATGTGGCTAAATCAAGGCTTGGGTGGCATACACAAGATAATACGTGGCATCTATGTAGCATAGTACGCATCAGTTTATTATGTAAAGGGTGTTATATGGTTCATTCGTATGTTAAAGCCCTTGATCGACAATATTGACATTGGCTTATTCTTCTGCTTCATTTGCCTCTTCCAAACACAATGTTGAATTGCAATTTGACCATCCATGTAAGTGTGGCATGCCATCATATGTGATGATTTCAAGAACACTAGACAATCCCAGATAAAAATTTCGAGTGTGTCAAAACTCTTTGGTAAATAAGTTTTTTTAATCATCCCTACCTGAATCTTCTTCTTCATCTTATCTTCAGTTTAACCTTTTTTATACTTTTCTTGAAGAGTGCAAGAACTCCAAAATGTAATTTTCTGGGAATGGCTGGAAGAGGATGACTACGCAGTAGAGAATAACAACGATTTGCGACAAATCTACAACCTAACATTGAAGATTGGAAATTTGGAAAACGAAATTATCTTCATTACTGTTTCCCTCTTTCCTCCCTATGTTCTTCCTTAGCATAATCTTTGTAATTCTTTCTAAAGTTTTTCTTATCCTCTTCCTAACTTGAATTTCTACATTGTCTTGAATTTTTTGTTTAGCATCATCTTGAACCTCTTCTTGAATGTTAACTTGAATTTCATGTTCCACTTCATCTTGAACCTCTTCTTTAATGTTATCTTGAAGTAAGGGAACTTCAATGTTATCCTGTACTTCAGGTACTTCAATGTTAGCTTCCACATCAACTTTAGGAACTTCAATGTTAGCCTCCACATCAACTTTAGGAACTTCAAAGTTAACCTCCATTTTAAGTACCTAATCACTTGCAGCTTCCATTTCAATGTTAGCTTCCACATCACTTTCACTTTCAAAGTCACTATCACTCTCACTTTCAAACATAACTACACGTTCCACTTCCAATGCAACTTCAAGGTCTACTTGAACATCAACTTTAATTGTAAGAGGGAAAAAGTTCAGAAATGGCATACAAGTGTAATATATTAGATAAGTTAGCACCATACCTTGTTTCTTAGGTTTCTTTTTTTTTTAAAAAAAAAAACTGAAGTAGATAGTACATCATTTGGTCTTTGAGGACATGTTAATTTGCTATGGGCTCTTTCCCTACAAATGGTACATCTCAAGACCATTCCCTTTTTTAAGACTGTATGCCTTGTTCCCTTAGATTCCCTCTCAAACCGATCCCTTTTCCTTTTCATTGTTGGTGTTCCAGGTAGCCTTCTTTTTTAAATGGTTTGGTGTAATCCACTTTAGGCCACATAGCACTACAGTTTAGTGGCCTAATGTGATACCTATAACAACTTGCATACATTGATGTAGTAAACCATTTTGATACACAATCCTTAGGGTCCCTATTGAGGCTTGAAATGGTCAACATATCCATGCACACAATGATACCCTGCTAACTTCCATGCCCTGTATCTATAGGTATCAAGGTCTACATCATATCCATTAGTCCATACCCTCACTTCAAATTACATATAACCAGAAGGCACCACTTTCCAAAACCTATCCATAATCACATAGAAATTAGAAAATAATAAAAATGTCAAGCATATAAGTAATAACAATTTACCTGTTGTTCCTTGAGTGTGTTCAACTTCAGTCTTATGGAAGAACATATGTTTACATGCCAAGATTGACCCTTGCTCTTGTAGATACACAACTTTCCATTACATAAATCTGGATTTCTTCTAACTTGGTAAATAGTGGTTTCTTCCTAGCAGCTTCAATCATTGAGTTAAAACTTTCAGAAACACCATTTTCATATGCATCACAACTCTTATTAACCTGGAAAATGCTTTACACTAGGTTTTTGGGTCCCTTTTCATCAAATGTTCATATGCTAGTGGTTCCAACTTCTTGATTTTATTCACATGGTACACAAATTTTTGTTGAATTGTAGATCCAATAGCTCTCCAAAACAGCTTCCTAAATATTTGACCCTTAAATCTCTTCTGGAAATTAGCATAGATGTGCATAGCATATTGCCTATGTTCTACAGCTGGAATCATTTCCTTCACACCATCAATTAATCCTTATAATCAGTACATACAAAGCATAAGGTAAAACATATTAAGTATGGAAAATAAAAATAAGTGAAGTTTGAACATTACTTTGTATTGGTTTGATATTATGGTTAGTCCATGCCCAAATCCTATTCCAATGTCATCAATTAGAAGATCAAGAAACCACTTCCATGTTTTTTTTTTATTTTCCACTGCAACCACAATCCATGCAACATGATATATGTGGTTGTTTTCATCCCTTCCAATGGATGCAAGCAACTGACCTCTGCATATGCCCTTTAATAAATATCCATCTACTCCAATTACCCTCTATCCATCCATCCTTCAAACCCTTTAAACACACATAAAACTTTGAGAAGTATGTTTCTCCATCAGGCATCACATCTACCTCCATCTTAAATGTTGACCCAGGATTTGTCCTTTTTAGCTCTTCTTTATAGCTCCATGTTTGGGCATAATGATCTATTAAAGTACCTTCTATCTGCTGAAATGCATATTTCCTAGCATTTCTGCATTGTCTAACACTTGTTATTAGGTTAAACCTTTTACTGACCTTAGCTTTCAATTTCCTAATGCTCATTTTTGGTTTCTACAATATCTCATTCATGAAATGATTTCCAATCCCTTTGTAGCATACAATGAACCTAAATTTGAATACTCTTGAACAACTATGCCTATCAATTAAGAACATAATATGAAAAGACCTCTCATTCTTCATCCAGGTTGCCCACAACCTAAAGGGACGACTCTTATTCTTCTTATGTTTACAACATTTTGCCAACAACTTTTGATGATCAGTTTTTCATACCATAAATCATACCCATTCTTGATGGCATAGTTGGTTAGACATAACTTCAATTCCATTGGTTTGGAAAACTTCATACTTAAAACCGGGACCATTTTATCCTATCCTTGATTCTCATCAAATACAGGGAACACAACCTCATCATCTTCATCACTAACTTCATCATCATCATCATCATCATTCACTTCTTCTTGGTCACTATTAGGAATGGGTTTACCGCATAACTTGTTTAAAAATTCATCATCAAATGTTTTGTCAAAAGTATGCACCTCTTCATCAAGTTCATGCTCATATTCCATTATATCTGAAATATGTGAGTCTGTATCATCATCTTCTACCAACTTAGACACCTCATCACCTGTTAACACCTCCTTATCAACCCCGTCAAGAATAGGTTCATTTTGGTGGTCAACGTAGACATTCATTCTTAGCTCGTTCTTAGCCATGTAGCCATATTCAATAAACTCAAAATAACCAACATCATTTTCAATTCTTCTAATACCTTCTATCAATCTTTCATGACTACTACAATAGTACAAATTATCACAGCTTCCTCTTGCTAGCTTTGTAACCCACAACACAAATTTTCTATAGTTCATGCCAACAAAATCCACATCACGAACTAATATTATTATAGGGTCTAAGTACACTAACGGGTTTGGTGCAAACATTCCATTGTAGTGAAAATATACAGTGAGATACGTACCGTTAGGTGATCCCATTGTAGTGAAAATCTATAGTCGAGGATTTCAAGTCTCAACTTCAATTCCAAACCATGAGCTCCTAGTGCTTCGATCGAGTGATTTCTAAGAAAAGTTAATTAATCGTAACGATTTGGGGAACGATTTAGTAGTATTTGTTAAGAACCCTAATTAAATGAGGTCGATTCACCCTAATTAAGTGATGTCTATTTTGGACAAAGGGTGTAATGAACACATCATATGCCACATAATTTCTTTTAAATGAGTTAGATTAAGTCACTGGTTAAAACATGCATTAGTCGGTATTATTGACCTAATTTGAACACGTAAAAAAAGTTAGTTGCTTTTATACGTAAAAAAAAGAAGAAGTTGCCAATATGTGAACAAGGATAGAGGTATTTACCCTCCTAAGTCATTTTCCCTTTAATGAAATGTAATATCTTCACGAGGAAAATATCAAATTATATAGTGTCATAGAGTAATTCAAACCCTATAATATTTTCCTTTTTCTTCTCCTGATAAACGACATGCTCTTCATCGTACCCTTCATGATATTGTCTTTCTAACATCTTCAAAATGGGTCCACAAATTTTTTCCATATTTGTAACATTCCAAAAATTACGACCAAAACTTTCATTTTTAATCTATAAAACAGATTACTGGAAACATCTTCAAGGTTATATCATATCATAAAAACCCATAAGTCATATAACTCAAAACATGTCATAGTAAAATAATGTCGAAGTACATAATCCCAAGAATCTCATAGTGCGGAAAATCATGTGTGATGCGCTGCGATTATGCCGACTCCTTTCCCTTCAAAGAGGAAGTACCTGAAACCAAAAACGAAAACCGTAAGCACAAAGCTTAGTGAGTTCCCCCGTCATACCACATAATCACATACTGCCAGGCATATCTGGGTGCTTGACCAACCTTGCCGGAAATATCTGGGTGCTCGACCTACCCTGTCAAGGATATCTGGGTGCTCGACTGAAACATCCCAAAAATACAAGCCAAAAATTTCGTTTTTTAAATTAGTTAACAAACATAATATTATCACGATAAAATAAAATCATCTAACATGTATCTCAAAATCTCATAAAATATGTCAACATATAATTGTATCATATAAAATATCAGAGTAAGCTCCCACGCTAATAAAACTGTGGTGTGTGCCATGCCATCAACTCGAGCCCTTCCCTTTGCTAGTTGAAGTACCTGAAACCAAAAATGAAAACTGTAAGCATGAAGCTTAGTGAGCTCCCCCAAACTACCATATACCATACAAAGCACATATAACAAATAACATAACTCTGGGACTACTCCCAACTGCATTGGGACTAAACCCGACATCGGACTCCTGTCCGGCATCGGGATCATCCTGGAATCGGGCTTACCCCGGCACATACATAACATAATCACATAATATGCATCGGGCTTGCCTCAAAATCAGACCAAAGTCCGGAACAAATGACATATGACACATAAACTAGCATACATCGGGCTTGCCTTGAAATACATAACACATGGCATAATGACTAACATACATCGGGCTTGCCCCGACATCGGGCTTATCCCATAATACTTAGCACATAACATATAACATAATCTCATATATTGCATCGGGCTTGCCCGGCATCAGACCGGAGTCTGGGACACATAACACATAACACATATACATGCATGAATGAAAAAGACGTGAAGCATACTTAACTACTTCTTGGGACCGCCCCAGTATCAGACTGAAGTTCGGAAACATATAAACTGCATCGGGCTAACCCCGACATACTCTATTACTTAAACGGGCCGACATTGGTGCCTTAGACCCGTTCCTACTGGAGAAAAACTTACCTCGTGTGACTAACTGTTGCAACTCTGGGTGTGGAATCTCTATCTGCTGCTCCGACGAATCTCCGGTTATAAATTTCCATAAAGGTACTTAGTCAAAAACTTATAACTACTCTTAGGGTAAAATGACCATTTTACCCCTGGCTAAAGTCAACATCCTGGTCAAATTCAACACCCAGTTGAACTGATTCGCCGAGTTGGTTCACCAACTCATCGAGTCCCTATTCTTTCATCTGTTACCAATACTGACTCTACTCGTCGAGTCTAGCAAGAACTCGATGAGTTCTCCTTCAAACATAACATCGGGACTATCTTCATCTGGCTTACCGGGTTCATACTTAAACTCGTTGAGTTCATCTTCATCATATAAGTGTGACTAGTCTGTAACTCGCCAAGTTGTATGAACAACTCTTCAATTCTGTCTTCATGGGTTATAGATTGCCTTGGACTCGCCGAGTGTGTTTATCCACTCACCAAGTGCCATGGTTTCCAGGTCCATAACTACGTCTATTTTGTTGAGTCCCCTTTCTGGACTCATCTAGATCCCTTCTAGACTTAACTAGATCCCTTCGAATCAGAAAAGGTTGGGAAATCAAACCCCCGACTCGTCGAGTCCCATGAACGACTCGTCGATTCAACTAATGTCCATGTCCATAACTCAATTTTCTATTGTGCTAATCTCATCCAAAGGGTAGATTTGGGCTCATAAGGTCGATATAACACATAAAGTCATGAACTTTACGTCCATGCAAGGGACTTTTAAGCTCAAAAGACCAAAAATAAGGTTTATTACATGCATGGGGTTCTCATGGCCATAGAGTTGGTACCTTTATGCCATGATAACCCTCCAAGGTTCCAGATCTGAAGCATTTACCCTATATTACACTCTACAATCTGAAATGGGTTGGAAATCCCCCCCCCCCCCCCAAGATGTCAAGATTCAAGCCTCAAAGTAGATCTAACAAATAAGGAGTCAAGGTAGGAGATCTTTACCTCAAATAACTAGAAGTGTAACCACAAATCTGGATCCACTGACTTGCTTCTTGATTCACCAAGATTTCCCTTACTTTTACTTACTTGAAACACAAGTAAAGGCATAAATTGCTCAAGAATGCTCACAATTGATTAGGTTTTCGAGGATAGAGCTTGAAGGTAATGGAGGTTGGGGTGGAAGCCTCATAAGATGTTTAAATAGGGTGTAAACCCTCCAATTTATGGTTTCATTCAGACAACTCCTACTTGCTGAGTCGGTCTTCCGACTCGTCGAGTAGGTCACTTAGTCCCCCGACCCGGAGTCAATACTACTAGACGAGTTAGGCCTCCAACTCACCAGGTCCAAGGGTAAAATATGAAGTTTGGCTTGAATTTAAAGGCATACCTGAGACCAGGTGTTACATCGACCTACCCTACCAGACATATCTTGGTGCCCGACCTACCCTGTCAGGCAGATTTGGGTACCCGACCTACCCTCCGATGTATCTCAACCAGCTACGGGGACTATTTCACCCCTACCACTACCACATAATACATAACATAAACATATTATCAGGAATATCTAGGTGCCCGACCTACCCTGTCAGTCCTTACAACTAATAACGGGGTCTATCTCACCCCTCCTACCACTATCACATAATATCATAACATACTAGCACATAATACGTAATAGATAGTGGTATACCAGACAATTATCACAAATACAATCATCTTAACTAAAATTAACTACTAGTTGGCCAACCTTGGTGCCTTCGACCCACTTCTACTGGAAGGTAACTCACCTCAAATGCTGTGAAGTAGCTAAACTGTCCTTGGCACTGAAATCTGCCCCACTCAAACTCCTACACATAAAGATTACCTTTAGTTACCCTTTCCATGCTCATAACCCCTTAAGTGTCAACTTTAGTCAAATTCAAAGTCAACATCTTGGTTAAAATCAACGTTCCGAGTTGACTCAAGTCGTCGAGTTCCATAAATCATAAAACTTTGAAACGCGATCCAACTCGTTGACTTCTTTCACAACTCGTCAAGTTCCTCATATCCATGATATCAGGACTTTCCCATTCTACTCGTCGAGTCATCCTTGAACTCGTCAAGTTTTCCCTTTACGAATTCAGGACATTTTAACCCAACTTGTCGAGTTCCTCTATAGACTCGACAAGCTCTTTAGTCTGTTAAGGTAATTTAATAGACTAGGCTCGTATCTTTCAAATCTGGACTCCACACTTCTTTTACACACTGAAAATGTCATTTTAAGGGTAAAATTCCCAATTTTACCCGTTAATAGCCTCCTTTAATGGGTTTAGCTCAAACCCTAATTCTTCAAGATCTAGATCTTGATCCAAAAGAATAGCCTCCTTTAATGGGTTTAACTCAAACCTTAATTCTTCAAGATCTAGATCTTGATCCAAAAGCCATATATACTTCAAAACAAGGCACACAAACTGAGATCTAGGCCCTAGACACCATTTGAACACGTAAAGTATCTGCCATTCTCTCCATGCATGGCCTTTTGGGGCATAAAATTCCAAAATGACATCTTAGAGTTTGCATGGGGCTCCAATAGCCATAAAGTTTGCACCTTTATGCCATGAAAGCCCTCCAAGGTCCTAGATCTGGAAGTCTACCGACTTGGTACGTCCATTTCCTAAAAACTAACATTCTTGGACCAAAAACCCCATAAAAGTGAAATGAATAGATCTAAGAAATCATTAAGCAAGTTTGACACTTGCTTAGCCGAAAATGTTGCAAATGGAGTGAAGTTTCTGGATCTACTCTCTTCACGTTGAGCCCTCAAGCATTTTCTTCTTCTACAAGCTTCAAATACACAAGTTTTCTCTTAAAAATGTCTCACAATCTCACACAAGACACTAGGGTTTCGTGGCTTGGGTTTTGGGACTTGGAGGCTGTAAATGAGGCTAACCTTTAGGGTTTAATGTGTTTAAATAGGGTGCAAAACCCTAAAATTAGGGTTTCACTCTACCAGCCCTACTCGTCGAGTTGGGGCTCTCAACTCGTCAAGTAGGTTTCTTAATTCGTGTCCCAAAATAATTCCTACTCGACGAGTTTGGGGCCTTCAACTCGTCGAGTTCTCATATAAAAGTGAATAAATTTTATTTGAAATACATACCAGGAATTGGACCTTACAATATTAATGAAAAATACTTTTTTGAATATAA